GAGTAGCAGACTCATTTTCTGAATTCCAGGGATCAGAACACATTGGAAACCCCTAAAGTAGCAGTTCAGCATCATCTCCTTTGTAGAATAAAACTGTTAAAGCACTTGGCCCAAAAGTACAAATAAATACTGGTGTGGTGTTTGTTTCCACAGACTTCCAAATTAAACTATGCAGGCTCATACAATTCACGCAGCAGTTCATGGGTGTGAGTTGGTCTCCTGTGTTGTGCATGTCTTCTGGAAACATAGTTCAAACCCTTTTTTATAGTTCTCTTACAAATATTGTTAAAACTTTCCAGGTTTCGTTCCTTGAACCTAGCAAAGGATTTTAGTGGTGTCAGAGCTTTAATTGGCCTTTCAGTGGCCCCATGAAGGAGCTGCATGGATGTGCTATTTCGAGTGGACAGCAGATGTCACACAGTGCATGGTGACCCTGTGCTTTGATTTGCCCAGGTTACTGCAGTCCATGGTACAAGCAACAGAAAAGGATGCAGCGTTTCTCAGCCTGGTGACTCGCCAGCTCCATGGAGTGTGGTCCAGAATTACACAGCTGCCACTGATCCCTTTTGTATAAGGTGTTGTCTTCCTGGACCAAGAGACACTCAGTCCTTGACTTTTAATGCTACAGGATCACAGCACCATCCTCGAAGAAATCACACAATCCACACACTTTTGTGTTTGTCACAGTCAGGCTCTTCTGGCTACCAAAGCACAGAGAACATATCTGTCAAAACTCTCTCAGAATTTTAAAATGCTTGCTTCTTCCACAAAAACCCAGGTGGAGTCAAATAAAGATTAAAGTAAAAATAGTCATTATCATTAAGATTTTTCTTTTAATGATATTTTGAAGAAAACTATCAGTTTGCCTTATTCAGTTCTTGTGTTGCTATTATCAATGTTACTAGATTATACAAAATTAAAATTTAATATAGAGATAGGTTACTATTAATCCATTTACCTTTTTAAAAGAATGGAATTCAATTTGTTTCCTAATGATAATAGCAGTAAATGCCCATCCCAGAAAAATCAGAGCACAGGGAGACAGGAGAATGAGCTCCCCGGACGACCCTAATCCCATCCACCCAGAGAGCACTACCCAAACCATAGCGTCTGTCCCTCTCTGCCTCTCTCCTCTTCTGCACTTGATTTACACAAGCTGGCTCACGCATGTAGGATGCAGCCTGCTACTTTTATCCTAAACATATGTGGCAAACATTTTCCACTTTAATAGATATATTTCTTTAGTATCATATTTATAGTATCCAACTTTACAAATGTCTCATTTCTGTAAGGAAATTTCTGTAAGGAATTCCCTACTGGAAACTAGGCTTTATGTACATTTATGTTGTATGTATACATTACATACATTTGCCCATACATTGACTGTTTCCTTAGATAAACTCTCATGTGTGGAATGACTAGGCCAGTGTGGGCAAAATGCTTGTCAATCCTTTGTCATGTTTTGTGGAATTCTTCCAGAAAAGCCATGGCAATTTGTACTCTTATGAGCAGTGTTTACCTTTTGCTCTTCTGTTTTCCAATTCGTATTGGTAATTGCCACATCAGTTTAATCAACGAATAATATCTCATTGTTTAAATTTTTGTATTTAATCATTAAAGATGTCTCTTGTCTTTCTGATACTGATTTTTTCCATGTTTCATTTTTGTTTATTACCTACTTCTGAATTAAGCTGGTTTCATGTAGAGGTTCTTGAGTCCTTTCTAAGACCTCCTTTTATCTTAACTATTAAAGTTTTGTTTTCCTTGCCGGTCAGTTTCATTTTAATTTTCATAAATGAGATTTTGCATTCACATAGGTACTAGTCACTTGAATCTCTTCATACACAATGACAATAATATTTAACATTTTTGAATACTTATCGTGTCCTAATCATTGTGCTAACCCTTTTACATGTGTTGTCTCATTCCACAGTTCCCATTTTATAGATTAGGAAGCTCAGACCTGGAGATGCTAGATAACTTTCCCAAAGATAAGTGATATTTTGATGTTGAATCTGTGATCATCTTATATTCTAAGAACTACACTTTTTAAGCTATTTTTTATGCTTCTTCAACACTAACAAGAAAAACTAATATTTATTTGATTACAATGTGCCAGGTACCATGTTAAGCTCTTGAATCTCATCCTAATAATTCTCTTAATTCTCACTTTAGCTCTCTGCATTAGGTCTCTGTTGTGTACATACTTGTGAGCAGCTGAGTAAAAATCAGTGGTGCTAATTAGCTGTGCGTTTGCTTTCCAGAGATGTATTTGGGTTCACAGTCTCAGAGGTTTCAGTCCATGGTTGGCTAGTTCTGTTGCTATAGGCCTGTGATGAGGCAAACATAATGACGCAGAGGCCATGGTGGGGCACAGCTGTCACCCCATTGCAGCCTGGAAATGGAGAGGCTCGGAGAGAGGGAAGGAGGAAGGGCTGGGGATGAGATACACCACACTGGTGTGTGAGGGATAAAGCCTTCAAGGCAGGAGCCTTTTGGGGACATTTTAGATCCACACTGTAACTGATTGCTTGTGCACAATTACTATGATAACACAGTAGAGACAGAACTTGGAACTCTGTGAATGCAGAGACTGGTTCCTGATAATGCCTCCTTTCTAACTCTCAAGATGGGCCTGACAGTGAGATGCATCCTGTGTATGAAAGAAAGCACTAAGTAGAAACCTCTGGGAATATGATGCTCTTTTAGTTTAAAGTACTGTTTCCTACCAGCTTTAGCTAAATCCTAGAAATATTTTTCTAAGAATGAAAGTGTGTTTATGAAAATTTCAAAACTGTAGTAAGCCCTTTCCTTACAGTTCTTATGGAAATGAGGGTTTCCCTTTCCCTTTTGTGTGGTAGCTCAGCAAATCTTTCTTTCCATTTAGCAATCAGTAAGGTACAATGTTGGATAAAAATAATATATTAGAAGACTGTGTTTTAAAAGCAGTTTATTAAATTTGAGATATAAAGTAGAGTAATATATATTAAATATATTAAAGTTAGCATATACAGAGAGGAGGGGTGGAATTGGGGGTAGCAATTTCAAATCTGGTATTTCGTCATTCTGGTTTTTCTATTTTCATATTTATACCCTGATTCTTGGCTCTTAATAATTTGTTACTTTTTCCTAGTTTAAATCTCAAAATATTTGGAAATTGTGTGTATGTTTAATCTGTAAGAAAATATAATCATCAGATTCAAATATCTAATTCTCAGATTTTTGATATCTGCACTTTAAACTTCTTTAGTGTCACATTAAGGACATAAAATGAGTGTTCAATTGCTATATATTTACTTTGGTCATCGTGAACAAACCTCACTTTTTACACAACTTTAATTTTATCACAATGTTTATGTTCTTTGCAAAAGTAAACACAGTCGTGGTTGGAGAGCCAGATAGGTTTTTACTAGCTGCGCTCTGTGTTTACCTAACTGCTCAGGGCTTCGGCTCTCACTTTCCTGGCCACAGGTTTTGATTAATGGCCCTTGAATTCTGGCCAGAATATACTGATTATGGTCAGGGCGCTTCAAAGATGATTTATTAATTGTGTTTGCAGCTCCAAATAAGTAAAAATTGATCACATGCATTATTATATGTTTCCTGATAAAATCAAGATTTGCATTTTAAAGTTTGGTCGAGTGTTTTTTAAGTATACAGGAAGAACAAAGCATTAATATTTTTTTAAAAAACATATTCACTATTAACCACAGCTTTATGGCCTTTTAAAGCATGATTACTATGTGTATCAGAATCTTAGTCTTGTAAGTGCTTTTATTTTAAGTTACATTTTAACAAAATCTCCACATATGTTTCAGTGGAGCTTACAAAGGTGTTTAAAAATGCATTTCCATGATTGTAACTCACCCTGGGAATAACCCTTACTAAAATTCCCCCAGGCTAGTACATGTATTTAAATTTCAAATTACTGACAGACTCAGATTTCTGTTTAAAAAAAAATTTAATAGGAATCTGCTATAATCTTTCAGAGTTTCAAATAAAAGGAATTTATCATATGTTTCTCATATATTATGCTTCTATCATTTTAAAGACATCGGTACATAAAATTTCTCTAAATTCAACTTGATAATAGTTGCTGTTTCAAAACACTTTAACCAATGTAGAGTAATGTGTAAATATTTATTATACATGGTCAGTGAGGTCATTAGTCAAAAGAAATGACTTCCTGTTCATAATTTATATTTCAATATTGAAAGAAAAATAGGCACTAAAAATATTTGCTATGCTATATTCATCATTTACAGTACTGAATTCTATAACTTAAATTATTTAATGTAATATATAAATAAATTACAATAAATATTTGGTATTAAAATAATAAAATGTTATATCACTCTAGAACTAAAGTGGTCTCATATTGTCTAGTTATACCAAAAGAAAAAGATATAAACTTCAAATGTAACTGAGATGTTGGCAAATGGAATGAAGAAATCAGATATGAGAATAAAAAACAATAAACATAAGAAACTGAAAATATATAACAACCTATTAGTATTATTCAAGGATTTTGTTATCTTTTAGTAAAGCATTACTAAAACACAAAGAATGTAGACACACTTTGTTTAAATATTGGTGTTAGAAAATATTTTTAGGAAAATTTTAGGACATATTTTGTTTAGTTGAAAATCTTTTACAATACTCTTGATTATAAACAGTTCCTTTAAAAATTATTTCTCTAGATCAAATTTGTACACATTACTTTTTAAAATGCTATCTTTGTAATAATGAAGATTATCAGTGTATCAAGTAAAGCAATTTTACTCTTGCCAGCATCATTAAGTGCTTACTCTTACACATTCCACTTCTAATAATGCAGAGTAAAAGTTGGGCACAGACACTGTCTTCAACAGTCTCTCAGTGTGAAAAATGAAGGAAGACTGACCAGCTGATACCTGCATTTGGGGCCATATTGTATTTTGACTGTCTCTTATATGTGTGTAACTCCCTGTAATGTGTCTAAAATGTACCAAATTTCACAGTGGAGCCAAAATCTATGAAGCTTTGGAGAAGTGCTGTTCCATTGAGGACTATGGAATAAGAGTAAGTCAGAGAAGCCTGGCCAGAAGGAGGTTGTATCTCAGTTTGGTTTTGAAGATCCACATGCTTCTGGGGTGGACACTGAAGACAGATAATATGGAGACTAATCGTTGAACCCAGTCTGCAGGCTTCCAGTATTTCTTTTCACCACCTGGGGCAGCTACCAGCTTTAAGAGGCTGCATTTTGCAGCCTGGCCGACATGGAGGGAAGGTCACATGACCAGGCCAGTGCCAGCAGCGTGTGAGGGAAAGGAGATGTGCCCATGTAGCGACTGGTCAGGCACTCCCATGTCTCTCTCCCTGCAGCCCAGCCTCTAAGGAAAGCATCCTGGGAGAAGACTGGGCACAGAGATCGGAGGAATCATGGTCATGGACGGTGTCGTGAAAGGGCAGCATACCCACCAGGGACTGCTCAGCCCCCGGACTGTTGTGTGTGAGAGAAGTAAATGTCTGTCTTCATTGTAGCCATGATATGTTTTGAATCTCTTTGTTTGGGATATGCCCTAACTCAAAGGAAGAACTCTTTTAGTAGGGGAACACACTGCATATGTAAAATCATGGAGAAAGAGTCTGGAAGGCAGAGGACCAGTGTCCACATTGTGCCATACATAGAAATAGGAGTATTAGGAATACCTCTGGTAAGGTAGGCAGAAGTTACATCCCGAGGCGACTTGCATGCTAGGCTTATTTATTTAGGCCTCTTTGATAAGTGCAACAAGGAACTAGTAAAAGGTCTTAAAGCAAAGAATGGAATAGTGAGCAGAGCTTCAGGAGAAATTTCCTCTAAACCATACATTGCATAGACATAAAGTTTACTGATAAGCCCTGAAGATAGGAAGATAGAGTAGTAATCGTGGAAGTATTTTCTGAAGAATAGTGATTGTAATGCTAGTGTGATTGTAAAGGAAAAGATAGATTGAGAAACACATAACATGGCCACCAAAGACTTGGGAGACCCATCAGTTATTGAAAGCATTGGGGTAGGCATGCTCTTTCCCAAAGCAAGTCATCTGTCTTAACTTTGAAATTCAGCCTACCGCAGAGGTTGGATAAACAAACTTCGATAGCCATGGGAACTCACTTCTCCAAAGACTAGAAAAGTTTCCTTTTCTATGTTGGTGTATTTATTGCTCAAGTATACAGTGTGTAATATATTAATATAGTATTATTCTACTTCATTTTATGTATTTTATATTTACAATGAATTTAGCTTATAAGTGAGCTCATTACTTGGCATGCTGTCCTCAAGTCATCCTTTGAGAGAGTTCATCCCTCTGGAAGGTGCACCATGGCCTCCGGAAACTGCCCGAGGTAGGATTTTTCCTTGGCACAAGGAACCATTGTTTCTGGACATGTATTCTCACTGTAATCTAAAATCACGGAGCTTCGCTTGCTTGGGGATATATGATATTCTGTTCAAGGGATTACAGAGAAAATCAACTTTTTCGCTGTCAAAATCTATCAAGGTTATACTGCTGTTTTTAAAAAGTGTTTCCCCTAGGTCATGGATGTATGACTTTTTAGAAATTTCCCAATAATTGAGGAAAAGATATGAATTGAATTACCAATTGAATGGCAAACTAGTGAAGTAATCAGATGTTGGTATAAAACCAAACAGTCTTATATATCCCTACTTAAAGAAAATCATGAAAAAATAATTTCCTACTTATTGAGGTTTATTTTTGATTAAGTAATAAATGATGTCACAGAAGGCGTGGAAATTGTTGAAGAGAACACATTATCTGTTCTCACCTGCAACTCCAGTTGCAAGTAGGCAACTGGAAATCTCATACATCTGACTGAATAATAAGGTGCTCATTCAAGTCAAAGTATACTTTTGGAGTCCTTGCACATAACCTATTGGGAATATACAACAATAATTTCCAGAGAAGGAAAGCAAACATAACAAAGGGAGGTAAACAGCATTACAGGTCATCACTTAGACTCTGACTGTTGGCCTCTCTTATTTGCACCTTACTGTAGTGATGTGCGTGGGGACCTCATGCACAGCACAGAGTCAGAGAGGGCAGGTACCTTCCTTCCAGAAGGACAGTGTGGAGTTGGGGAACAGGACCGATTAGCAATTACAATACAGTGTGCCAGTGAGGCTCTGTGATACAGTAGTGGCTGGTGCCTTTGGAATGTCTAATAAAAATGAACACTACAGGAAGGCACAGTGAGCAAAGAAAAAGGTATTACCAAGGATGGATATACACATAATGAGGAAGGCATATTACATTTGATGGAGTTTAGAAATTTACTTCCAAAGTCTGGAATTTGATGTAAATTGATAGTTATAAAAGAAAAGCCGGATGCATGGATTATAGGAAGTATTCAATAATTATCTAATAAGTGGATTTTTTTTTGATGAGGGAAAGGAGATATTAAGTGGCTGTCGTCCATCTGAATCTTCCTTTTCTTAAGTGGTCTTACTGTGTACACAGTAAGTAAAGCCTGAAATTCGAGTCAAATGTAACTTCTCTCTTTCCCTCGGCCCCACATTACATTCATCTGTTGGTCATGCTTCCTGCTACTAAAATACCACTGAGACTCTAATCACTTATTTGCCACTTCCTTGCAGTTGTTTTTCACTGCCACAAACTCAGCCAGAGCCGGAGTCTTCGCTCACCTGGACAACTGCAACCTTTGTGCTATTGTCTCCCCATTTTCTCTTCTTAACCTCTCATTCAAGGGTGGAAAACTCATGGCGTGCGTGCCGCAGTGGGCTGTTTGTTATCACTGAAAGCCCCAAAGGTTCGCCATCACTGCTCTGATCCATTGTCCACAGTGAACTTCTGAAAGCGGATTTGGAGTATAACTTTATATTTCACCTTATCTCTCCTGATTCCTATCCCTTCCCTAGAATACCTCAGTGTTTTCCCATTATAATTAAAATCTAAACTCATTACCATATGCTAGTTGCTCTGAGTGACTTTCTGGAAACTAATTGTGTGATTTATTCATTTGTTTACAAAAATACTGGAACTAGAGATATCATGCTTACCATGTGCAAGGCCCCAGGTTCAATCCCAAGTACCAAATATGTATAGATACAGATATATAATATATACATCTTTATGTATTTATAATACATACATATTTATGTATTTATTGACCTTTTCAGTGTCAAGAAGTGGTATAGATAGTATGGAGAGAGTGTTGAACAAGAGACAAACAATTGTGTTGCATATGTGTGGAAAAAAATCAGTGTATATGTCAAACAGAGAAGTAAAACAATGCAGCGTGATTGTGTGTCACCAGGTGTCCTTGGGCTGGATGGAGAGTGTGCTCTCTGGTGTTTAAGCTGAGGTGTGAATGACAAGGAAAGGGTCTTGCCAGAATCAGGCCGAAGAGCATTCCAGGCAAAGAGAGCAGCTACCAAAGCTTTCCTGAATCGCGACTGAGGTTGACATCCTGGAGGGACAGAAAGAAAGCTAATGCAGTGGGAAAGTTATTCACATAGTTGAGCAGTTACTACACAGGCGATCAGAGCTACGCATATCAGCCATGTAGGTTGGAGTAAGAATGTTGAACTTCTTGAGGGGGGAAGTCATTGAAGGGTTTTAGTTGAGAGGGTGCCGTCACCTGGTCACTGTTTTATAATAACCCAGTCTGTGGCGTGGGAAACGTTGCAGCGCTGCTGTGGTAAGGGGTCTAGGTTGCATCCTTCACAACCTTGCACAGTGACCCTAAGTGAGAGAGAGGACGCGGATGTGGTGACTGAGAGGTTATTCCAGGAAAGATGTGGTGACCATGGTGCTCGTGGTGGTGACCCAGGACACCAAGACACTTGCTGACGAAAGAGTGGAGGAGGGCAGGAGTAAAATGTGAGAGGTGGCATCGGTGTGGGGCACACAGCTGTGATCCCAGCACCCGAGATGAGGCAGGAGCCTCACAAGTTTCAGCCCAGCCTGGGGAACCTACTGACTTGGCAGCACCCTGGGATATAGTTAAGTGTGTAGGCCCAGGCTTGGATCCCCAGCACCACCAGCTTCAGTAACACAATAAACTAGAGCTGGTGATGTGGAAGAGAAGAACCCAGACTGATTTCTGTGATTTGGGCTTCTAACTGGGAGGATGGAGGACTGAGACTGGGACAATGGAAGGAGGAGCAGACTTGGGAGTAATGCCAGCGATTAGAGTTCATTTGTCCTGAGTTCAGAGTGGGGCATCTGCTAAGTATCCCAGAGGATATGTCTTCAGAAGGTCAGATGGCTCCGTGGAGTTATTGTTCCCGGGGAGATTTAGACTAAAGATTTATGCAAAGCTTTGAGGCCATGGGCATGTACAGGACACTTTATTGTCTGCAGTAGAAACATTGTATAAAGCAGCTTTGAAGGCTGAATGAACAAACACTGAACACTGTTCCTAAGGGAGATGCCAGTTGCATTCCTGGAGTCTCTGGCCACGTCTTCATCAACTGATCAGTATATGCCCTGGTTTCATGTGTGTTTCTGTTTGAAGACACATGCATTCTGCAATAGCAGAACCTTCTTGCATGCTGGACAACCGCTTTGCACTAGACACAAAGGCCACTTTAAATGGTGAAATCAACCAGTAAAAGCACAAAAGGGCAAAAAAAATCCACCAAATGTATCACAAACCAGCATTTGCTTGTAATATGAGAGGGGAAATGAGAAGACAGTGCCTTGCTCTGCCTCAGCTGAGAGCAGGTACACTGCAGACTTGCGTGGCCCTGTGCTGTCCTTGCAGGTGGGCACAGGTGTTGGAGAAAGCACCTGGACTGTCGGTGCTGGAGTCAAAAATAAACCTGGGTGAGCAGGAGCTCAGAGGCACAGAATGCGAGATGAGTAAGGAGGACCTGTGGTGGTCAGTTTAGTAAGTGAAAGCCTTGCGACCAGAAGAGATCACCCAGATTCTGAATAAAGATGCCCCAAGTTGAGCCCTGCAGCATCCCAGGCTGTGGGGGTCGGAATCTACATACTCAAGAAGGAAGGGATGGCCCACCCTGAAGCTGCTGCAAACTCGAGTGCAGTAAGAACAGAGAAGCCGGGCTCTGCAGGGGAGGCAGGGACGTGACCAACAGGAAGTGGGAGACAGACACCGAGTGGGTAAATCACCCAGTAAACTGGGCCCGACCAGAGCAGGCAAGTGGCGCAGTAGCCACAGAGCACGGGCTCCTGGGAGTTTTATGGTCTCCTGTCTGTCTCCCTGCTCCCTTGCTCGTTTTGTATGGTAGAGAGGAGAATGTATTTTTATGTTTTTCATAATGACCAAGTCAATCAAACATACATTCCTGACCAAGAACTCAGTATTTCCTGGCCTCAGATTTTCTCTTGTATTCGATGAAGGACTTAACCACACAGAACTGTCTGACTTCACGGAGTAGAAAACACCACACTACAGTGGCAAAGCACGTGGATCCCAAACCCACTGCTCCCACTAGCTGGGCGTCCGGTGTCCCACTGAACATGGCCACACTTCAGTGTCCTTGGTCAGTAAAAAGGGCAGTCGTGTTCCCTCCCCCAGTATGGGGAACCCTGAGTCAATGCCTGTGAATTCCTCAGCACAAAGCGGGTCCCTCAGACCGCACTAAGTGCTCTCTAGGATTTCTAGTCATCACCGTTACTCTGTCTGCTGGTCTCTAAGGTGCTGTGAGTTGTGAATCCCGTGCTCATGTCACATGCCCTGCCCTGTCTGTCCTCGCTCTGTAGTGTGTTCAGAGTGTGGAATTGTCTTCTACCATTTTCTAGAATACTGTTCCAAGTAACCGTAATTTCGATTAGTTAAGCAGTAGGAAGCCTCCCATTTCAAACAAGATTCCTTGAGATCATTTTTCTAATGTAAAATTTATTCAGCAAATATTTGGAGGTGTAATATTTTCCAGACACTGTTCAGGGATACAGTAGTAAACAAAACAAAGTCTTTGTTTCTTGGAACTGCAGTTTGAGTCAAAAAATAAATCTTGTACTTATCACAAATTTCAACTCCTTTACAAAGTCTTGTAGCATATGTTTGTCAGTTTATAAAAGCATGTTTTTTTAAAAAAATAAATGAATGAAGAATGAGAGATTGTATAAAAAGACGAAGGTGAACGAAGAAGGAGGAGAGAAGAATGCAGGGGGAAGAGATGGAGTGGGCAGTGGGGAAAGAGGCACTGGCCAGGACAATGCGTAAAGGTCAAAATGTAATTTTTCTGGCAAATGGATTCTTGTAAATGTGTACCAAATCTTCCTTGGGAGGTTACTACTACCTACTTTTAATAATTTAAATTTCGTCCACACCCTACCAAGGTCCCCAGTCGC